AGATTGTTGTGCTGCTTCCGTAGGAGACGAAATTCGTTCTATCCTGGGAAACGATTGCTGGATGCCTTAAGCACCTTTTGAAGGCCGCAAATTCGTTTTAAGGAAACATCGTGAAGTCGGTGGGCTCGAATTCATTTTTTATACTGTTGATCATACCGTTACGCTGTGCAGAAATACTCCAGAAATAACAGTTGATGTATCGTCTAGTCTCATTGCAAATGGGCAGGAGTTCTACAATATCTCTCTCTTTTATTTCTTGGGTTTTTGATTCGCGGTGTTAATGGGAATTAGCCCTTTTAGTTGATTTCCTGTGTTGTATACAAGATACTGTGCTATGTTTGCTTTAACTCTTTGTGAAACTTTCTTTTCTTTTTGTCAAATTAGTGTTGTAATAAATGTATGGGTGATTTGAATAACTGAATCTGTATTGTTTGTCTTGGTATGGATTGAAGATTTTGATTTCGTTATGATCCGACCTTCAAAAAGTGATTCTGCCCCAAAAGAGATAACTGCTACAATATGTGGATTCGCCTAAGGTGGTTCTATAGGACAGAGCAATCAGTTGGAGGGCGGAGAGGGTTCCATGTTGGCTTTTGAATATTGTAGGGTGTCTCCAATCTATATTCTCTCAAAGTTATTCATGATTTTCCAATGTCGTCCTTTATAGAATGTTTTCTTCAATGTCTATGTAGGTTTATCCGCCTTGTATAGGTATGACCTTTGAACAGGCAAAGCAATTAGATTAGTATGTTTGTTCTGAGTGTGAAGTTGATTAGGAATTAAAGAAGATGGGCAACAACTCACTACCAAATGGCAAGGTAAGACTGACATTTCCTGATCACGGTTTGTTTTGGCTCACTTGTTCAATTTTCTGCTCCTTATATTGGCAGAAAGAAAAACATAAAGTTGATTTTATTCATTATGAATTAGTTTGAACAAGGTTAAATTACGAATGAACAAACGTTTTGACAGCGTTGCTAAGATTTGTCTCAAGTGCATTTCTTTCTGATTTCCCGTTCAGGGGGACTGGGGGAGCACCTAATGAAGATTTGAATAAGTTTTAACATCAGTTATATTATAAGCAGTGTGTGAATACAGTTTTGTTTACTCCTGCACAACCATTTTAGTACATTTCCAATGAATGAATCTTTATTGCAAATTTTGTCCTTGATCACTGTTTGTACACTGCTTTCATGAGGAGTGGCTGTTGATTTTTTGAAGCCCACATTTGTGATTACTTGACTATTCTGACCATGCTGACAAACTTAATAGCACACCATATTTGAACCTTGTCTTCAAGTGACTGTGTGCTACTCAGCTGTCTTCCTTGATTATGTCTACTGCTAAATAAAGCTTCTGTTTTTTTCTGCAGGCAGTCCTAAGAGCTTAAGTGTGAGGTCAGCACATCAAATGGATCTGGCTTGGATGTGAGAAAGGTCATTGTGTGCATAATGCACTCGGTTTGCTTTATAGTTTACTAATCAGGAAGACACCAAATTCTCCTTTAGACCTCAACCACCCCCCCCCCCCCCCCAGTAGTATTAGATATTTACATTTTACAGGTATGTTACAATTACCTGTCCATATAAAATTTTCGTCCTCGAAATTTAGTCCTTGTTTGGTACCCATTATTTTCAAAATACATTTTTCTCTCTTATTTTCAATCATACATTTTTCAATAAACTAATATTACACGTAAATCCAAAAATTTTCGTTACTTTTTAACCATATATTTTCCATCAAAACACGATTTAAAATGCATTCTTGGGAGAATAATGTGGCTCAAACAGTGTGAACATATTTTGGCCCTGTTTGAGGCAAATTATTGTAGAATGAGAATGAAAAATATAGTCGTTATTGAAACCACATAAGAGATAAAAATTTTGAATTTAAATGTTGATGTGATAGATAACGGTCATATTTTTCATTTTAATGAGATAATAATGTAAATCAAACGGAGGCTTTGTCTTATTGCACTAAAAGCTTAGGAGGTGAAACATATGACATTTAGAGCTGATTTGGTGGTTCTGTTTTTGCTTCAGTGTCTTACAGAAGAGTTTTCTCATAAAGCTATAAAAGCTCTTCTTCTAGTAAAATAAAATACTTTTAGAAAATTATTCAAACATATTTAAAAACAGTTTTTTAATCTCAAATATAGCTTTTAATTTTTTAAAAGTCATGTCAAATAAGTCCTTAGTAATTTAATATGGGTTTTAACACTTGTTTTAGGTGCAAGTTGTAGTTAAAGCGTAACACAAAAGCACAAATTTTGTAAAAGGGTATATGAGAGACTTGAACTTGAGTTTTATTTCTTGTTATATCATATCGAATCGCTCCAATTAATGCTTTAATTTGTTAGAGATTATATATTTTATTCACTTAAATTTAACCTCGAATAGCTTCTGTGTGTTATGGCCATAAGGCTAAGTTATTTGAATTTTATTCACTTAAAGTCCCTGTTTGGCCCCTATTATATTACATTCCATTACATTAATTTTTTTTCTCTCTTCATCTCAACCATACATTCATCAAATAAAATAATAATGCACACAAATCTAAAACTTTTCAACCACACATCTCCCATCAATCATTATTCTAAAAATTTTCAACCCCCTAAAAATCTACAATAATGGGGGCCAAACAGGGGCTTACTGATTTATCAAGGAAAAATTGTGCAAATGATTATCCTGTTTTGAGTCTTCGGTTGATCAGTAGTAGTTGTACTCAAACAAGAGGCTATAAAGGAAAATAGTCAAACTCTTAATATTGATACTACAAAATTTAGCTTTGGGTTGGTAATGATTTTTTAAAACTCATTTTTCATAAAATAATTTTGTATGTTGGACCCTAATTTTCTACACTTTTTAACCACATTTTTCAAAATATCACTTATCTCAATTTATTTTCAAAAATTTACATTAAACAATGTCTTCATGAAAAATGCTTCTTGCACATAATGTTTTTACATAATGATGAGATATCAAAATGTAAGTGGGGAAGTTATTTGATTAATGAGATTTTGATCCAATTAAATTTCGTCACATCGTCTGTTGGTATATCATTAAGTAAATTGTTAGCACAACCCTTATCTCCATTTGAAGTTGCAACCCGGCCTCGAAAAAGTACAACATGGACAAAGTGTGAATTGAGTCCAGATAATCTTGAAGTGATAGTCCCTATCCAAAATTTAGGTAGAGACAAGGATGTCCATCTGCAGTATTTACTATTTATGGCTACTTGACGCCATTCAATTTGATATTTATCATATTACAAATATCAGTATGTTTATTGATCATGAAAATTGTTGGGACTTTTGTGTTTATTCTCAAGCCAAAGTTATTGAAGATTGTTCTTGTAAACAAAAAGAAACAACTAACAAGTGAGTCTACTCAAATTTTCTTGAAAAGGAATTAAATGGTCGATCGCAATGTGATGTTGAAATTAGAAATCGAACGACAAACTTTAGGGTTTTTGCTTATGAAGCAGGTTTGTGTACAAGGGAGTCTTTATAAACAACTAACTTCTTGAATGTTTGAAGTTTTAGAATCGTTCTATTTTTGACATTACACCACAATTTCCATGCTTCATATTAAATACTTCCAATTACCGTACAAGATACTATTATACAGTATACTTCATCGTCATCGATTGGATAGGGATGAGTCGAGCTGAGTGCCTTTGTGTATATCTTATCAAGATCTCTGCTTGGTGGTACATGTAACTTGGCCATTTGGGAAAGTTGCCATTCTCATTTTTCTGCTAGTCAACCCAGTGATGATGCCTATACCGACGTGCGGTTCATTTATTACAATAATGTTAAATTCTTGGTTTTTCATTTTTCTATTCCAACTGTATCACGGAACATGACCGTGTACTGTGTACAACGGCACGTCAAAAGCTCAAAGCATTCACACTAAAATTTAACTTTCAACTTCATTAATAGTCAAAACTATTATGCTGATTAAGCTAAAAAAATAATAAATTAATTAAAAACAGCAAAGAAATTTATTAATTTTACATTCTGCCGACTCCACCACAAACGAATTGACATTTTCCAGTAGGCCTGCCATGAACACAATATTCACGCGGCTTGCAGCTGTCTCCCTGGCCCATGTCCCTTATCAAAAAGCATATTTTGGCGACAAAATCATAACCGCCATCCCTAACTTACTAAAGAAATTCAGATATAACGTCCATCGTAATCAGGACGCCTCGACTTTACGCGTCCACTTTGTGTTTCTTTGACACCAAGGTGTCGCATTTTTTGAACGACTCGAAATTTAATATCTTAATTTAAATGAACAATTCTATCATGTACTATGTCTTTGTGACTTACTAAGTGCTTTTTAAATAAAATTTTATTAACTTTCTAAGTGATCAAAATTTTAATTTTAATCCTCCAAAGTCAGTGATTTCATCAACTTTTCAATGCTTCATTTGATGACCTTTTTGTCAAAATCTTATCATTTATATATTGAAATTAACATTTTTTTAATTTTGAAGTTACTTCACATTGACTGAATCCCCAGGAAAAGTAGCCGTTGGGACCCACCCCACCCAAATGTAGTAAGCGGTTTTTACCAGACATCTATACTAACTATAAGTTAATCCCCTGTTATTTAAGGAAGCCTCCCTTTCAATTTTCTGATCACCTAAAACCAAAAACGTAACAATCAAACAATAAATCTAACTAATCTTGATTTTTCCGATTGTCCAATAAATGCTTATCGAAAAATACATACAAGAATTCGTGTATGTATAGGTAGCTTGTGGTTTAGTTAACCCTTTAATGGAGGTTATTATGGAATGTTCTTTGGCATTAATTCAAGTTTAAAGCTATCCCTGCACTCTTCGATCCGCAACTCTCCACTATCTCTGTCTGAGCTGTCTCCATTTTTCGCTTTCTTTAAAGCTTCAACTTTTATTCCTCTTTTTGTATATTTTGTATTTTTGGGAGCCCGTATAACTGTAGCGTACACTGCAAGCCGCTGAAATATCACAACAGTACGTATTTTCTTCATAGATTTCTCTGCTTTCTGTGTCTTTGTGGATGTAAATGATGTAACATGTTTGTGTTTTCGTAGTAAATTTTGTTCTGTACTCGTGAATAAAGATTATTAGCGATTTTCTGATAAAGGTATGAAACAAATAATTATACTTATTATTATTTTTTTTAAAAGGTTGTAGATGGAGTGTAATTCTGTTCCTTACTCGTGAATAAGGGTTATTAGCGATTTTCTGATAAAGGTATGAACCAAATAATTTATAATTTCTTTATTTTATATTTTTAAGGTTGAAGATGGAGCGTAATTCTGTTCAGAAGAAAACCGAAGGAACTAATCCATATAGTATTTTTGTAATTCTGTTGAAAATGAATGTGTGCAAATACTTTGTTTTTACTGTTTTTTCTTCCATAACTTAATTAAATTAATGTGTTGAGTTCCCTAGAATTTGTCTCGTCACTTAATCTCAAAGGTGATTCAGAATATTTCCTTGTATATTGACTGGGGCACGTTTGGTTCGATCCAGTTTTGAAGGTTCGTTGTTTTCCCTGGAGAATGGATTGATCTCTGTCAAAAAATAAACTTTCAGTTACATTCTTTTCGGAGTTTAAATATGGGATAAATTCATTGGGCTAAATCATTCGCCAATAAAGAATTTCATGTTTGTTTAAAATGCTAAAATTAGAAAAAGGAAATATGGGTGACTAGTTTTCTTCTTGGGCTGAGTTCTGTTTATTTAAATTCTACCGATCTGCCCACCTTTCGTGTGCCACATGGCTGCAATTCACCGAAGGAACATAGTAATATTTGATGGCCACATATTGCACAATGTTATATCTGTATGTTTGTGTAGGTGGATAACTATCATGATTGTGCATGTGATGTGAGTATTGATAATTGATGCTTTAAGGGTGTAAAAACTTTACCTTCTTTGTCATGTGATTTAAAATTTACCTTTCCAGCTGAAGGCTCACTTATTTTCTCAGAGGTGATGCTAGATGGCAACGTTTGGGGATATAGGGCTAGCAGCAGCTATAAATATTCTCACTGCATTGGCTTTCCTTATAGCCTTCGCTATTCTCAGGCTTCAGCCGTTTAATGATAGAGTATATTTCCCAAAATGGTACCTCAAGGGTTTGAGAAGCAGCCCAACTCACTCAGGCGCATTTGTAACAAAATTTGTCAATGTGGATTGGAGATCATATTTGAGGTTTTTGAATTGGGTGCCAGCTGCACTGAAAATGCCAGAACCAGAGCTCATTAGTCATGCAGGATTGGATTCCGCTGTCTATTTGCGGATTTACTTGCTCGGGTACAATCTTTTGTTCATTGATAGCTCTTTGGACTATTTGCTTTTTGTCATATCTGTAAGACTGTCTATATCTAACTAATCCATATTAAGCACTTGTTTGATACAATTTTTTTTTTGGATTGATTCCTTGAAAAGTTTTTTTTTATATGAATATGTGGTTAAAGTGTAGGGAAAAATTATGGGAAATGTGAAAAATGATGTTTTTTAGAATGTATAGTTGAAAATGAGTGTGGGAGAGAAGTGATTCTCAGAGAATCAAAATAAGACAAGGGCTAAACTTGTTTTATGAATATTTTCATTAATAATCCTGGATAAAGTCAGTACGTCATCTCGAGCTTGCAAGTTTGTTTATGAATTTTCTTTTTTGGTGTAGAAGATAATTGTGGTCCAGTCCACTCGTTGGTTGATTATAACTGGATATTTGAATGGTAGTTCAACGGAATTCTATTCTTGATTGCTGGATGGATTTACTTGTGGCAAGTTACTTTATAATGCAACACATCAGAATTTTATCAAGTTCACGTTCTTTAAGGAACACAGTCTGTTTTGCTGATTGATCAAATGAAGCTCAGTTCTTTGTTGATTCATGTGAATCTGATTTCCTTGGTTGATACTAATAGTTAAATCTATTATTTCATATGTGATAGCATCAACCTTATTGTAATGTACTGATTCTGCTAATTGGTTCATGCAGACTGAAGATATTTGTTCCTGTGGCATTGCTTGCATGGGCAGTCCTGGTACCAGTCAACTGGACAAATAACACTCTGGCTGAAGCTAAAACAACTGATAACGTTGATTTCAGCGACATTGACAAGCTTTCTATTTCAAACATTCCACATGGATCACAAAGGTTAGGTTCATTTTTTTCTGTGGTTTTCCAGAATTTGTTGCGCTAGTTAAACAAGTTAAACAAGTCATGCTCAGTCCTGGCTCATCATGAGCCCATGCAAAGTAAGTATCATTTGAATGTGAACAACCCAACCACTAGTTTGGCTCATTTTATTTGAACCACCTGTCCTTATTATACTATGTCGTGTTACAACTTGTGGCTTCTGTCATTATTTTCACATCTTTCTTTGGAGTTGGGTATTGATAACAGTCTATATGTATAGGTTATCAAAAGTCTTTGTACACTCTAGCTGAGTAGCTTCTCTTGAACAATGAACACAACTTTGTGTGATGTATCGCTAATTTTACGACTGTTGCCTGGAAGTATTGATATTCAAGGTTCTATCCATTTCACTTTTGTACGAGTCTATGGAGATGGCGCTCAGATATTTTGATCCTTTTCCATTATTAGTGTTCTGTTCTGCCAAAACTTAACTACCACTACAGTTCCACATAATTTTAAACCTGCGCATCACAACAGTTCGAGGTTCATTTGTCACTGGGACCCATATTTCTATGGAGATTTACATACTTTTCCTGGATCTACTCATCTTTACTGTGAGAAGATTATCTTTGTGGACCTTCGTACCCTAGAGGCCTTGCTTCATGGCTTCTTAGGTTTCATCAATTCGCATGGCCTTGTTGAACCATTTGATCTAAAAGTTTAAACTATTAGAGAATGTCATTTTGACACGCCTTCTCACGTGTAGGTGTTATCAAAGCCTGACATGTGTACAATTTCATTAAATAAATGGCTATGATACTACCAAGACCCCTGCTTGCTCTAGTACCATGAACCATCTGATCTATAGCTTGAACTGTTAGAAAATGTCACATGGATTTCATTTACGGGCCTATTCTACGTTGATCCAGATTTTAGGTGTAGTTTGACTTTTACAATTTCACACTTGATAAAATGGCTTGTGTTTCACTGGGATTTTCAGGTTTTGGAGTCATGTAATAATGGCCTATGCAATTACTTTTTGGACATGCTATATTTTACGGAAGGAGTATGCAACAATTGCAGCAATGCGATTACACTTTCTTGCTTCTGAAAGACGTCGTCCTGATCAATTTACTGTAAGATGCATTTCGTATTGATTTTTATTTGGAATGTAAGGGGATTTCCTAGTAGGAAGGATATGGACATTATTATTGAACATCTTGTGTTTGTTGTGAGTTGTGTCTACTTATTCTCTTACCAAATTCAGTTGATTTTCACGAGGAAAATGATATTTTGTTTTCTTGAATGTTCTGATTCATTAATTCTTTTTTGGAAAAAAAAAAAAAAGGTTACTTGTACACATGAATGTTTTATGTATACATATGTTTTTTTGATGTGTATATGAATCCACTTGATGGATTGTGAATTATCAAAAACAGCTAAAAGGCGTCAGTACTTTGTATACTTTATGTGCAATTAGTAGGTATTCAATGGCAGCTTCTTCATGCTTACAAGCGCACTGTAGTAAAATTTGTGAAATTATTCTAGCGAAGAAAAATTTCCTTGATACACTCATCAGAATTCAACTGTTTATGCATCCCTATGTTTGTCTTGGTTAATGAGCTACGTCTTAGTTTAAGGATTTTAAATTACTATCATGAGATGATTTTCTATTCTCCACCTGCAATTTTCTTTGTGGATACATCAGACTAATCTAGATTTGTGTTCTTTTATGATTCTAGCTTATTTTCATAGGATATATCTGACTATTTTAACCCTGTTCATTTACAATTCTAGCTTATCTATGCTGGAAATAATAGTGCATTAAGATGGCCCTCTAGTTGACTATCATTATATCAATTTTAGCATACAAGGAAAATTTTCTTTTTGTTGTTTCTTCATTAAGACAAATGTTGAAACTTGACAGGTCCTAGTTAGAAATGTACCACCTGACCCTGATGAATCAGTGAGGGAATCTGTGGAGCACTTTTTCCTGGTCAACCATCCAGATCACTATCTCACTCATCAGGTTTGCTTCTTACTGAAATTCATTTGTTGGTGGTTTTGTTGTAGAATATAATGAAGGAAGAGGACGCGAACTATTCTCTATTGCTATGTGGTCTTACTTTTTTGTTGATAATAACCAAGACAATTTATAATTTGTCAGAATTATATTTTTATGAGAAATTAATTTTGTCAATTGAATGCAGAGAACTACCTCTTCATCCAGAGTACTTTTCAGGAAGCTTTTGAAATGGAAATAAAAATCATGATTCTCTAAGTATTAATACCCAAAACAATTCATAACTTGTCATAAGTACTTCTTTCCAATAAAATAATTTATAAACTTCAATGGAAAAGCGCTTTTTGATACAGAGTAATTTTATAATTTTAGATATTAGAAATATGATATTTCCTCTTGCAGTTAGTCATTTGTTGACTTTTATAATATTCTAACTCAGAAAACATAAATTTTCGTGCAGTTGGCACTCAGTTAAATAAGCTTCATTTATTAGCGATTCAAATCTTAGTATCATTATTCTTATATTAGAAGATTTATTCAGGTTGTCTACAATGCCAATAAACTTGCAAAATTAGTGAAGGAGAAGAGAAGTAAACAAAATTGGCTTGACTATTACCAGTTAAAATATTCAAGAAATCAATCGAAACGGCCCATGATGAAGGTACCTGTTGTTTAATGCAATTTCTTTGTAAATGTCTAATTTCTCATACTCTACATTAGAACAATTTCTCGTCCACTGGTGTTCCACTGTTTTTTAGATTCTATTGTGATTCAACATGTCATTTAAGACATGCCAGTGCACTTCTTTTCAAACTTGCAGACTGGTTTTCTAGGCCTTTGTGGAGATAAAGTTGATGCAATTGATCATCAGACAGCTGAAATCGAGAGGCTATCAAAAGAGGTTAGCATTGATCACTCAACATTGCCCATCTACATCTATAAAACATTTCCAATTTACATCTTTATTCGACCTTGTAAGTGTATTTGAATATTTTCCGCTATCATAAATGTCCATTGTTCTTGTTATCATCCTCGAAGTATAAAGCACCAACTTTGCAATAGTGAAAGTTGATCTAACTTGCTACACATGACTTATCTCGTAAAATTCATCCTTTATCATCATAAAAATATAAAATGACAGGCATACTACGATCATAAAAGATAATAGCAGGTTACTTAAAAGTTAGTTGCAGGTTGCTTATATGTCCATTTCTTCTTGGAACACCACACATGGAAACACAAGTATTCTTTGATATAAACTGACAGGCAACCTATGATCATAAAAATTAATAGCAGAATACTTAAAGGTTGGTTTCTTATACAGTACGACTGATAAAGTTGGACGAGCTAAATATGGAAACAAATCTCCTTTCCTTGTTTACCAAGCATTCAATAAGTACATTACTTTCTAAAAGTATCTCTTTACAGTCTTTCCTTGTTCCATGCTTTCCTGTTCATCTTCCTTGCCAAACATACTGCAAGTGGCAAATTCCTAGACCTGATTAACAATAAAGATATGGTTTAGTACATCTTTGGCGATGTGAATTTTCATTTCATATTTGTTTATTGGTTGCTGCCGTTAATTTTCTGGATGTATAGTGGAAAATTAACAAATGTTAGTGTAGGACGATGCAAACTTGATATTGTTGATTTCCAGTAGCAGCATGAGCTTTAACAATAAATTACTTGTGCTGCAATAAATTGAAATTTCCACCACTACTGTAAAATATTTAGGGGGTGTTTGAGCCCTATTCTTTTTCAAAAATATATTTTGGAATAGTAGATTGATGGAGAATGTGTGGTCAAAAAAGAAGTAAAAGTTTTTGATTTATGCATAATATCATTTTAATGAAAAACGTGTGGTTAAAAAGAAGAGTGAGAAAAATGTATTTTAAAAAAATGAGAATCAAACAAGGCCCTAATGTGTTCAATGAAACAGCACCCAGCGAAAAATATTACTTAAAAATCGCATGTGGTGTATTGTAAAGTGAAAAGATAAATAGGAATTGTTCCATTCATATAGAGCATTTGAAAATTGTCTTCCATTTATTGCTAACTTTATGCTTTTGTTCGTCTTCTGTACAATATTTATCATTTGGTATTAATTTGAATTTTCTGCTGCATTTAGGATAATCTCTCTTCTCACCTCTTTCCTATATTGATGGATCAAAGCTCTTCTTACCTGTACTCTAAGCATAAATTTTACGTGCAGATAGATGAAGAACGAGAAAGGGTTAAAACAGATCCTAAGTGTATCATGCCTGCAGCTTTTGTCTCCTTCAAAACTCGGTGGGGGGCTGCTGTTTGTGCACAAACACAACAATCTAGAAATCCAACATTATGGTTAACAGAGTGGGCTCCAGAGCCACGTGATGTCTATTGGAATAACCTGGCAATTCCCTATGTTTCACTGACCATTAGGAGGCTTATTATTGCTGTTGCCTTCTTCTTTCTCACATTTTTCTTCATGATCCCCATCACAATTGTACAATCTCTTGCAAATATCGAGAGTCTTGAGAAAAGAGCATCATTTTTGAAGGTGATTACTGACATGTGAGTGTACCTTTCTTAGATCTGTTGCTACATTAGTTTATGTTTGTCCATCTCGAAATCAAATGTCCATACTATGGACCTGTTTATTGTCACTCATATGATTGATTGTTATTCTTCCTTTACTAGTAATAACTTATTCTATTGCAGAGGTTTCATCAAGTCTTTCATCCAAGGTTTTCTACCTGGGATTGCTTTGAAGATTTTTCTCATACTCCTGCCGACAATATTAATGCTCATGTCCAAATTTGAGGGTTTTCTCTGTAAATCAGCTCTGGAGAGACGATCTGCCTTTAGATATTTTATCTTCATCTTTGTGAATGTTTTCCTTGGGAGCGTCATAGCAGGAACTGCATTCCAACAACTTGACAGTTTTATTCATCAGTCAGCAAATGAGTACGTTATTTCAACATAAACTGGATTGCCATTTTTTCTTACATATTGAGAATGTATATTACTCATACTTCTGAACATTTATCTGTTGTAAGAATGCAATTACTTTGAGATTATGCATCTGACATCGCGTGGTTGCTTCTTGCAGTATTCCTAAAACAATTGGCGTAGCAATCCCAATGAAAGCAACGTTCTTCATTACTTATATAATGGTTGATGGATGGACTGGGGTTGCAGGGGAGATCTTAAGGTTGAAACCACTTATATTCTTCCATTTAAAGAACTTTTTCTTGGTGAAGACTGAAAAGGATAGAGAGGAGGCAATGGATCCCGGAAGTATTGGTTTCAATACAGGTGAACCTCAAATACAGTTGTATTTTCTTCTAGGCCTTGTCTATGCAGTGGTGACGCCAGTTCTGCTTCCTTTCATATTGGTTTTCTTTGGCCTCGCGTATGTGGTATTTCGCCACCAGGTAATGAATTCTAGTATTATAATATTCTTCTATGGAGTCTAGAATTCACAAATATGATGCACTTCTTGTTTCAAGGAGAATCGAGAGAAGCTGAAAATAAGCCAATTTTTGGCTTCTTTCTTAGAATTTAAGCTAAATCTAGCATGCTCATAATGTGTTTATCGCATGTACATGCAACAAATCAGACTATTATGTTTCCCATCCTCAGTTATGTTTTACCAAATTGTATTACCTTCAGTTCTTTTCTATTCTTTGATTCTGTAAATATTCAAGTTCACCTTGGAAGAACTCCTGTCTAAATGCTGGTGTTTGCTGAACATATTTGTTTGTTTTCTGATGAAGTCTTTGCTTACGCAGATCATAAATGTATACAACCAAGAGTATGAAAGTGCCGCTGCATTTTGGCCAGATGTCCATGGACGTATAATATTTTCTATGATCTTCTCACAGCTGGTCCTAATGGGACTAATGAGTACAAAAAGGGCTGCTCTTACAACGCCATTCCTTATTGCACTTCCTGTATTGACCATCTGGTTTTATAGGTTCTGCAAAGGCCGCTACGAACCAGCTTTCATCAGATATCCTTTACAGGTAGGTTCTCCAGAATCTCCATTTGAAAATGAATGTTTCTATTACTTGATTATCTTAATATATTTATTGGGTGCTTGGCATTGTTCTCAGATTGTGTTAATTCTAGTATAATCCCTAAATATCAAGTCGAATTGTAGGTTGTCTTTGATATAATGAAGAAAACTTTTTCAGGTTTTATGCTTGCCAACTTGGTCCTCGGAAAGATGGTGGAAGTGACAAGTATTTAACCAAGTTAAATTCTAGTAATTTTAAAAAGTTCTTCTGGAAAACTAATTCGAGAAGAATTCACATTAAAAATTGAACATTTGGTCCATCGTAGAAATGATGTCAAGATATTTGATTTAGGATAGACATGGCTCCGGCAATATGATTGATTGAGTTTCTATTGAAGGTTGAATTTAAGCTTCTAGACGAGGCGGTTCAATAAAATAGTGATTTCAAGTCCTGCCATCAACCATTTAAGAAAATTGTCCACGTTTAAGCCTTCGATGTGAAAGAATCTAAACTACACATGGAGGGGTGTGTGAAAAACTACATTTAAACAAATAATTGTCTCCTCTTTAATAGCTTAAGCTTTTAGATGAGGTTGTTTGATAGTTTCACTGTGCATCATGGGGCCTTGTGACACGACATTTTTGCGATAACTTTGTTTTCTAATTATTGTCATAAAATTTGAGAATGGCTATTAGGTACGAATGCTTCGTTGCCCCTTTGCTCATCTCAATTGCATTATTGAACTTGTCCATTATGTTTGATCCTTTTATGCTCTCCATTCTGGAATTCAGGAAGCAATGAATAAAGATACTTTAGAACGTGCGAGAGACCCGAACCTGAATCTGAAAGTCTATCTTCAAAATGCATACGTCCATCCCGTTTTCAAAAATGACGAAGAGGATGAAAACGAGGGTGCCAATGAAAGGTTTGAGTGTGTGATAGTACCGACCAAACGCCAGTCTAGAAGAAATACACCAGCTCCCAGTAAAATTAGTGGTGCTTCCTCACCATCATCACTGCCAGATACTGGTCCCGAAAATTTACTCCCTTGATGTCAAATGAAAGATCAGTTCCTGTTTGTACATTATACTTTGCACGGCAAGTGTTTCTGTAATTTATACAGAGTGTATGTAGCTGAATTTGTCCTGCAGGAAGGAGGGAGTGAAGGAGGCGTCATCCTGTTAGAAGCTAGAGCGACGTATATCACGAGCCTGAGCGTATGTGGGAAGTTTTATTCATGTTTGTAATGTTGGGTGTGCATATATTGTGTGTTTGAGAGATGTTGTCGACTCTGACATATCAAACATTGTATAAAACTTTGTACATTCATGAAAGCTCACTTCTGATATATTCCTAACATATCCATCAAAATCATAATTTTTTTTAATTGATCATTTGCAAGATTATTGGTTTCTGAATATTTGACATTTTTTTGAACTTCCAATTTTCCTATTATGGAACAATTCTCTTCTACCTGCCAAAGGTAAGAGTTGAATTCAATAATAACATTTATTTCAGAGCTTTTCTTTATTTTCAAACTACTTTTTTATTTAATTAATTTACAATAATTTTTGTAATACAATGCTTTACATTTTTGTAGAATTATGTTATATAATAAAATTACATTTTGTAAAATTTGTGTTCACCGTTGTTCCCATCGCTGAAACTCCAAATTTTGATTTAAGATGTCATGGATGATAAAATTGAAGGTTGGAACTCCAAAATATTTACAACATTAGTTGGAGAAATTTTAACTTTGCTGGGCTCGGGAGTTTGTGCCAGGGCGGTTTGGATTAAATCTGATTTCATAGTAAATGTAAATGCTAATTGTATATCATCGTGTACAAAATGATGATATAAATTATATTAAATGACTGATTTTCTCTCTAGCTTTCATATCATCAATAAGTAAATTAATCTCTACGCAATAATGTACAAATAACATTACTCGTATAATTGAACTTAAAAGAACATGTAGTATTGTCGAAATGTGAAACTTATTGGAGGTGTATGGTCTAACTACCTCTTATGGGTATTTTTAAGAGATTTTCAAATCTAGGAGATTAAGTTTGACCCATTTTAAAATTAAGAAACAAAGTTTGTTATTTCAAAAATCAGATATTAATAAAATTATATTTTTGAAATAATTAATTAAAAATAAATTTTACTAATTAAATATATTAAGGTCACAATTCTATATTATTTGTTACAAATTATGGAATTAATTGGTCACAAATTATTTATCGGTCATGAATTAAAAATTTTATAGGTCCCAAATTATTTTATGGTCACAAATCAAAATATCACAATTTATTCATTAGTCACACATCAAAAAAATTATAAGTCACAATTAAATATATTAAGATTACAATTCTATACAATTTGGTAACAAATTTTTGAATGAATTGACACAAATTATTTCTCAATCACAAATAATTTTTTTTATAGCATAATTTATTTATTAGTCACAAATCTCAAATTTTATAAGTCACAATCCAAATTTTTAGATCACATATTATTTTTTAGTCATAGGATACCTAAATTAATGGTCACAATCTTAAATAATTGGTCACAAACCCTCTTTATTCCACTAACTACCCCAATCCACCAGACACGACCACTTCCAACAACTAATTAGTCACGAGTTATTTTTTAGTCACAACTTCATAAATAATGAGTCACAATCATATTTTTTTAAATTTTATTGATCACAAATTAACCAAATTATTGGTCACAATCAACCAAATAATTGGTGACCTACCTACCACCACCATTACCATTTGTGACCACTACCATTGTCGATGCTCACAACCACAGCCGGCGCTCACCACATGCGCTACAACCACCAACAAAAACCACCCAAACATCAGAATGCGATTCAATTGCCAGATTTTTCCCAGATCGTGTCTTATTAGCAAAAAATACAATCACACACGATGAGTTACAGTAAGTTTGACTTAGTAAAAGCTCCGACACCAGCCATCAAAAATTCTGGCACCAGATAATTTTCAATCATCTCGCTCTCACACATTTCTTCACCCCCTCTCCAATCTCCCAAAGCCCTACTCCAACAAAGAATCCCTTTCATCAGGAACCACCTTCGTCACCGGCAATTACTCCCACCAACTCCTCACGGGCACCCAAGAAGCAACCGCATACAACCCTTCTGATGCACGACACTCCTTGAGCCGTTGAGCCACTACATGACTCCTCATACACCGCAAACAACATCTCCTCTACACCGCCTCTGCCAAATCAATAGCTCACCCGACCAATTACACACTACCATTTCCTTCGTGCCTTTCTTGCCACAAAGTCCCCTACCTGCAGACTCAAAATCAAGATAAACAACATCGATTCACACAACTAATTGAAACACTCAACATCCCAATCGAACTAGCCCCTACCACCCATCCACACATAAATAGTAGCGACGTCGAGAAACATCCATCATCACCTGTAGTATGGCGGCGGGCGTGGCGGCGACGGAAAGATGGTTTATGGCAGTGAAACCTCTCTCACGGCAGCCATAGCCTCCACGCCGCCTTCACCTCCATAACCTTCCTCACGACATCCGTCATGGAATCTAGAGTCTGCTGTTGATGTGGGACTAATGGTCGAGAGAGAGAAAAGAGAGGAAGGTTAAGAGAAGGCAGAGAGAGAGAGAGAGAAGGAAGAGGAAAATTTAATGTCGAAATTGATTAGGGCTTGAGATGGAAATTGTTCAATTAATATTTAATATTTAAAATAAAATGTCTGATTTTTGAAAAGTTAACATTTAATCCGATTTTTGAAATTGAATATTTAAAAATCTTGTTTTGTGTAATTTCCTCTTTAATTATTTTTCCTCTAATGGATGCACCTATAATTTCTCGTAACCGTTTTGAGGTCTCAAAATTTTGAATTAAATCATAAGCAATTATGCAATTAAAGTTTAATGGTGATAACTGTATCTGTATTTGTAAATTCAGAATATAATACAACACAATAAAGCCAAGCAAAACATATATGCGTTGCATAAAATATTTATTATGAAAACTAATATTTCTTTTACTTTTTCTGCACAAAAACCACATATTTGGTATAATAAACTAAATAAATACATAACTCTTTTCTATATTTTTCCATAGAAAAAGCATGTTTATAGACTATTCTTTGTCTCACGACAATTAAAGAATTTCTAGGGAGAAATTAAGGGATTGTTTGAGCCTCATTTTTTTTCCAAAACTCATTTTCAACCATATATTCTCCAATAAAATAATATTATACTTAAATCGATTTTTTATTTTATTTTTATCCACACATTTTTCAAAAATCACTATTCAAAAATATAATTTTTCTCTCAAAATGGGGCTCAAAATCATTTTCACATATTTTATTGATTTGTTTAACCTTTAAGAAAACAATTAATTAATTAAATCATGTGTCAAACAATGTAACATTGAATCGAAAAATACTGCACCAAAACACTAACAAAAATCATTCACTAAGTATTGTTTACATCTAAACTTTAATAAAAAAAAAAAATTCTTCATCCTCATGAATTAGACATGCAGCCGATCCTCACCAAAGCACATAGCATCATCTTCATCATTAGAATTATTCGCTGTTGACAATGGTGTAAATGCTGGTACAACGAAGTAAAGAACTTTACCACATGGTTGGTGCAAAGAATGATGTTAGGACGACAATGTAGAATTAAATTTTTGCTCAGCAACCTTGAGCTTATTTTGCATCATTTGCTCCATCTTCACTCGAGTTGCTTTTCGAGCAGCACGTTCTGCTTCTAACTCCTCCATACTGCTCACATTGAGAGAAGATGTCCCAATATTTTGAAGGCGATCATCTCCCAACTCACGAATTCGACATCTAGGCTTTGCACCTAGAACGCTTAAATAATTAAGGAACTGAAAAGGCAATCGGGATGTATTTCTTCCTCAACTCAGATTCATAAAAGCCTTGTAAAGTGAGGATCTTTTCATCTGCTCTGTCAAGGAAATATGCAGGAAGATTAACTAGTCAATTAAATCAAAAACAATAAATAAACGATAGAGGTTCAAAGGCAGCTCAAACGTATTTACCAAATTTCCCATTCTGTTCTCACGTCTTCTAATATGTCCTCGTAATCTTCATCATTCCTGAGCTCATCTGGGGTAACCACTTCTGTTAGGCACATAACCTTCGTGGCTGGAGCACTAGGTTGTTGTAACATGAATCTCTGCAAGAGAAATGATATTAAGAAATGGACAACTAAACCCATTTGAAGGCTCGACTGGTGCTAATTTGTTCATATAAATTGAATTCTAATCATTCACAAAATAATGGCTTCAGCTCAGAATGTATTGTCTTCCCTGTCCCTATAGTAAATCAAGTTAAAAAACAGTAAGAAATCAGAGATCACAAGAAATGTGAATCAAGAATCTTTACCCATGAACGACGACGTACGCAGACATTTTGAGTTAAGGGGGCATAATCAAATTTGCATTAGTGTTTGTTCATCCAAAAAAAGGTTCTGAAGAAATTGGAGTCTACCACTATTCGACGTCCATTTCTGTAAATAGCTCCCATCAACTCTCAAAGCCAAAGCCAAACTAGAGGGCTTTGAGTTTCATTCTGCTCAAAATTAGGGAGGTAACAAAAAATGAACAACTGCCAAATCGATGGACTTGGATATCTCTATCAAATCATTTAAGATAAAATCACCAAAAAAAAATGATTGTCTAAATCATTACTCTCACAGTTCACGGTTAAGATGCTCTTTTTGCGATAATGATGATATAGTCAGAGTTCATCTACTATAGTCCATAGAATAGGTCAAGAAAAGAAGATTTGGATCCCTTAAAAAATAGAACCATCAATCCCAATTAAGGTTGGAAGTAGTTAAACCAGCAGTTTTTAAAGACAATCAAATAGAAAGACACGATCGGATAAAACAATTTTCCTTCTAGAATTCAGGATTACCTTCCCCAGTCTAAATACATCAACACTCGAAAATAATAACTCAAACTAATATCTGGGAAAAGTCCCGTTTCAATTTGAAACATTTATAATGCATTTTATGGTAAACTTGGCGATTTATCAGTTAAAACAGGAAAAAATTATACTGCAACCAAAAGGACTCTTTCCCATTCATGTTATTAATCTGGTAGCAGAGACAGCAAGGCGATTCATTTTATTCTCACCCATAATTCGATCCAGAATTATACTCATCAAATAACATTTTTCATTGTAATTTCTATTGAACAAGAACACTCCTTAGCGGACTCCAAATTTTAATACATTTATTAACAACATCTGTGGAGTTTTGGCACAATGATTTTACCATTTTGGCACAATGATGTTACCACTTTTCTGACTGTTTTGTTGGTTGAATTGTTGACAGGATTGCTGACTTTTTGGGCTGATTGGGCCGAGTTTTAATTACTCGGTGACTGCTGCTTCGTTCTTGTAAAATCGTGTTTTAAATTATGTGTTTTTTACAAATGGATTCATTGCATGTGATGTCGCCAATTGTTGCCCCAATAGCCGTTGGATTGGATAACCTTCTGGTGACTTCCATCTTACTCTCGGTTTAGGGTTTGGATTGGGATGCTTTTCATTCTCTCATCATTCAAACTCTCTCTGTTCTTCATCTTCCTCTCTCACAACTCTGAACGGATAGCCTTTTTGGATCTGAAATACTTCCAGCTTTGTATAGATTTTGAGTGATTTGTATAGTATTCATAGCTGTAATTCTTAAGAGAATGGTTGTATTGATAAGAAAGGCTTGTGTTGATGTAATCTTGAGTGATTTTTTTTTTCGAGTGCCATGGAAGTGTGTTCTAGATAGTTTCATTGATTTTGGTTAATATAGTGATTTCTTCCGGTGGCGGAAGCTCAAAATGGGTTAGGAACTACAGTTCTAAACCTCTTGCCTTGAGGCGAAAATCATCGTGTTCTTTACTCTTTTTCACTTTTGTGCTTTACAGTTCCATATTTTGTTGATTAAAGTGTCCATTTTGAACCTAATCGTAACAGCATCAATACGAAAATTCACGCTAAAATATAAGTCTTCATTGCTATCTGTAATCTGCCTATATTATAAACCCCAATTCTCAAAATCTTCAAATCTTCAAGATCTAAATTTGGAAAAAATAAATCAAGAAAATAATCGCACACAAACACAATGTACAAGAATCCAACTGCAAAACCCATAAGCTAAAACAACTGGAAGAAAACATATACATATAAATCGTATAAATACCTCTAGCCGAGCCTATATGCAGCCAACAGGGGCAGACCACAGAGCCGGACGGGGATCAGGTGTCGGTNATAGTACATATAATTTTGTTTTTGATTTATACAACTTTTTTATTTGAATTACAACATATAGCAACAAAAAAAATATTTGAAATTTCAGTTTTCAAAGAATGAAAATAATTAAAATAATCATCGCAACCTGCATTTTCACAATATCTAATCTTTAATTAAAGAATCAAAACATAATATGTAATTAAAAAGATTCAATATTGTAACTAATCCATAATCATTATCTCAACATGCATTTTCAGAAGGCGAACTTATTACAAGTAAAACTTGCTATATAAAAAAAATTAACTAAAAACAAAGTCTATCAACCGAAACAGAAAAAATGTTTATAAAGAATATAAAATAATATTAATATTTTCTTAAAAGTGTCATCGTAAAATAAAATATTTATATAGTATTCAACAAGACTGCTCAAAGAAACAACTTGAGCACCTCTATATTCTGCAGAACATCATTAAGCTTTTGATTTTAACTTTTCTTTTTTCAAAATAAAATAAAATAAAATGGAAACATGTGTAAGTGGGTTGGGTCGGTTAACCAATAGTTTAAGACTTTAAATCATGACCAAATCAAACCACCATAGTTTTGTTTAAAATAAAATCAAACCAAACCAAACCAATAACTATGTCAAACCAACCCAAACCGACGTCGGTTTGGTTTGGTCTGTTTTTAGATTTTTTTGCCCACCCCTAGTGAAGGAGAATACAAGAAGTTTAGAAGAAAATGAGTATATTTGGGATTTTTTTTTTTCATTCAAAAAATATATATATTAAAAAAAAAAACCAATTTTTTAAGTTGTAGGGACTAAAAATAAAAATAAGATATTTTTCCTGCTAATTATTAACCTACAAACAAGTCAAATATTATTGTCGACAAAAAAGATATATCCTATCCATCAAATTTTTTGTCGAGAAAAAAATACAAATTTTTGTGAGCATAAGTGTACAAAAAGTCTTTTTTGTGGAAGAAAAGTGAACTATACCTACAAATTTCAATTTGTCTCTAAAAAATTTGTGGAAAAAGTATAAATTTCTTGTAGTGATATTTGGTCAATAAATTAAATAAATACATAATAAATTTTATCAAGCCCCTGTTTGGTAAAAAATAAAATCAAGAGTTTAATACAAGTCAAAGTCAACAGCTAATTTTAGTTACACATTTCATTAATTTCGATCAAAATTTATTAAAAATTTGATTTTAATCCCTACCAACCAGAAGTCAAATGTCTTTTATACTCTTTTCGAATTTGTTTTTGTAGACAATAGATATATAAGAAATTGCTAATTACGTAAAGAACAAAGATTAATCCTCTTGTACCGAGGAGGGACTACCGAATGGTGTCCCTCATCTCACAATATGGTGCGACCCTCACATGTATTAAATAATGCTGACCCGTGGCCCCCACCTCCTATTGTGAGTGGAGTGTAAAAGATTTGGTAAAAAAATTCGGTACATATAGCATGGTCCAAAGAACAATAGCAAATGATCATGTCAAGCTATAAACAAAAATAATGAACAATAGGTGAATATATGCTGAATATAACTTTAGATATGCCTGTCAATATTGTTGAGTGAAGCTGCAAAATCATCATGCTCGTCACTTACATAGGGATGACAAAAAAGATTGTGGGCTTGGGCTAGGCCTGGAAAAAGCTCGAGTCGGGTCGACTCAGGCTTGATTCCATCGAACCCCATTTTGGGGCGTTGGCCGGAGCCCGGCCGGCCTGTACGAGCTACCCACTTAAAAAAAAAAAAAACTATGAGCCTGTTTGGTAAAACTTTAAATGAAATGGTTTAGGGTTTTGTTAGGATTTTATACTTAAAATAAATTTGGAGGGTAGATAGTAGGGTGGGTATGTAGATTATTTTAATTTAAAATATCATTATTAATATTAATGATAAAAATTAAAACCTGATTTTTGATTAAATAAAGTATAAACCTGATTTTTTAAAAGACAAAACTAAATACCTTGTTTAGTGTAATTTCCTCTATTTCTAAACCTCAAGTGCCAAAATTTAATCTGGGCTAGACCCAGTAGAACTGGCCCATCTCCAATTTACCGCCAAGTCCAACCATGCTATCTTTATCTTCTTCCCCCTCCAATCCTCCTCCACCACTCCCAAGCAGTCCCTCAATCTTCGTGATTCCACCACCACCTGCCCCGACGCCGCACACTCACACCAATGTTAACCCAAATTCAAACTTCCGCACAACTCCACTTCCTTCCACCACCATCACAACTACCTCCTCCGCGTCGTCGCCGCATTTTTCTCTTCTCCGCCCGTCGTCGCCTACCGCTTCGTCATCATCACCATCTGTTTTCGACCTCTTCTCCTGCCCTTCGAATCACCAATTGTATGAATTCCAGAGTAAATGATAGTGTTAGTGGTGAAGTGATAGGCGAAGAAAAGGAAAATGCTAGTAAGAAAGAAAAGCAAGTAAGGAGAGCGTATCCGTTCCACGAAATAGAGCCTAAATGGCAGCGGTACTGGGAGAATAACAAGACCTTTCGGACTCCTGATGAGATTGATACTTCCAAGCCTAAATTCTATGTTCTCGACATGTTTCCTTATCCCAGGTCTTCCAGCTCTCTCTCAGTTGTTTTAAGTGTGTGCACAACAGATTGAAAAAGGAAAATTAATGAGCAAATTGAACTGGGAATAAGGAATATTGGTAAAATAATATAGTTGCTATGGAATGGTGAAGGCCAGGGCTTTAAGTGACAAATTATAAGATAGCTGAATAAATTGTGTATTTCATGTCTCAACGCTTAAGAATAGTCATCTGAAATTTTTTTATATGAAACTTTGTCATTGTTGCAGTGGGGCTGGTCTGCATGTTGGCCATCCTCTTGGATATACTGCCACAGATATCCTTGCTAGACTTAAACGGATGCAGGGTTTCAATGTGCTACACCCAATGGGATGGGATGCTTTTGGTTTGCCTGCAGAGCAGTACGCAATTGAGGTATGTCTTGCACTTTGTAAATACTTCCAATATCTTTTATTTTCTTGTCATAAAACTCACTTGATGTTTGACAGACAGGAACGCATCCGAAGATCACAACAATCAGAAACATCAACCGGTTCCGCACCCAGGTCTATACAATCAATTTTGTGTCACAATAACTGATGTGGTAAAATTTGCTGCAAAGCATTTTATGTGCTATTAATTGCTGAGATTATGAAGTCATTTGTTGTATATGGGCATTTTATGCTTTGTTCTTCTGAACTATAGAGTAGTAGGATAAACTGCACTCCGTCTTCATGATAGACAGAATAGGGATGAACCTAAGCTGTTTAAATAGACAGAATAGGGATGAGTGTGTGCATAATGATCAGATTTGGATGTTTTAACTAATTTTTGGATCTTTATACGTGGGGCCTCTCTCCACAGAAGGAACCGGAGATGATTTTAAATTGCTTTCTTTGTCTTATGGTGGGATAGAATTGTTGTCTGATCGAAATTGCAGAATGTAAATATAAATTGTAACGATCAAATTTTGAGAAATTAGTAGTGATATTATAGTCTCTGGTAGAGCAAAAAAATTTCTTTTGATTAAAGTGAAACAATAAGACTCCTCAAGTTTGGTACTTCAGATTGTAGTTAAATTCTGTATTTCAAGTGGTAACTTACTGAAGTCACGGAAACCTCATTTTGAGGACATTTGGCTTTTGGACACCCAATAATGATCCAAACTAGATAATCTAAGGTTGAGGCACAAGTATACCTTTATTGGGTTTAGTTCTCATGCATGCATATTGGGTTCTTGGTGGATTTTTTGTTAAAAAAAGCAGTATTTTTTTATTCCAAAGAGAAAAATAATCCAAAAGAGGGAAATGGATATTTGTGGTAAAATGCTACTTTCTTGGAATGGTTTTCCTTACATCTATCTTTTCAGCTTAAATTATTAGGCTTCTCATATGATTGGGATCGGGAAATTTCTACAACAGAACCTGAATATTATAAATGGACACAATGGATATTTTTGCAGCTTTTGAAGCAGGGATTGGCGTATCAGGTAAGAATTTCATCACATCCACGAATTTTTACACACGCGTCAAAACGAGATTTAATGATCTGTTAATCCTATATCAAGGCTGAAGTTCCAGTCAACTGGTGCCCTGCACTTGGTACTGTCTTGGCAAATGAAGAAGTGATAGATGGTGTGAGCGAGCGTGGGGGACATCCTGTGATAAGAAAAGTATGTTTTTTCTATGTTCTGTCATATTGCACTGATTTCAATTAACTTTTTATTATTCCTTATTTCTACTCCTTAGATGGTTTTATGATTTTACAGTTCATTGTTTATTACCGAGCAGCCTATGCGGCAATGGATGCTGAAGATTACTGCATATGCTGACCGTCTTCTTGAAGATTTAGATGATCTTGACTGGCCCGAAAGTGTTAAAGAAATGCAAAGAAACTGGATAGGAAGGTCAGAAGGAGCAGAATTGGAATTCTGTCTTGTGGACACCAGTGGTCTGAAAAGAGAGAGTAAAATTACTGTTTATACCACTCGGCCAGATACCATTTTTGGGGCTACGTATGTACTTTTCCTTTTATTTTATTATTATTTTATATTTTGGAATCAACTACGGCTTCTCATTTGGTTGCTGTTACTGTGTAGCTACTTAGTGGTGGCACCTGAACATGTTTTGTTGTCTTCAATTGTATCTGATGCCCAAAGGAAACAAGTATGTTCATTTAATTCTTCCATGTTTCAGTCAGTATTTCCAAATTCATGCGTATATTTAGTAGACAAATAATCTTGAGCCAGGTGGAAGAGTACAAAGAAATCGCCTCTAGAAAGAGTGATCTTGAGAGGACGGAACTCCAAAAAGAAAAAACTGGGGTATTTACTGGTTGCTATGCAAGAAATGCTGCTAATGGGAAGGATATTCCAATTTGGGTTGCTGATTATGTTTTGGGAAGGTGTGTGATTATATTCCTAAACCTTTGATTCCTCTGTTTGCCCTGTTGAGGGATGCGTTCATCATAATTTTAACATCCACCTATATTATTGAGTGGAATTTGAGGCAAATGGGCTGACCATGTTGACAATTATGATTTACTAAATCCTTTGCAAGTAGAAATGTCCACTGATGTGATGATATATTATCAACTGTGGTTCAGCTATGGGACAGGAGCAATAATGGCTGTGCCTGCACATGACACACGCGACCATGAGTTCGCTTTGAAGTATAGCATTCCGATATGTGGAGTTGTGACACCAGATAATGCAAATTTCAGCTATTTTGAGGAAGCTTATTCTGGTGAAGGTAAAGTGATAAATTCATCTAGTTCAGTATCCGGGCTTGACATTAATGGCCTATCTAGCAAAGAAGCTGCTTTGAGAGTCATTGAATGGCTTGAAAAGACTAAAAATGGGATTAAAAAGGTATATTTTCCATATTTTTATTTATAGAAGTACATATTTTCAAGTTTATCTTTGTCTTACTTTCTGAAGGTTCCCGTGTGGTTTAGCCTGTCAATGAATTTTGAGTGGATCAAATTTATATCCCTGTAGGTGAATTATAAGTTGAGGGACTGGCTATTTGCTCGACAACGTTACTGGGGAGAACCTATTCCAGTCATTTTTGTAGACGATACTGGTGAAGGTATTCCCATTCCTGATGTTGAACTGCCTCTTACCCTTCCTGAGTTGGATGAATTTACTCCCACAGGAACAGGGGAACCGCCACTTTCAAAAGCACTGTCTTGGGTATGTCTACCCACTTTTTCACCTTTTATATAAATCACTTGTGAGTGTAACTGATCAATTTATGTTTTTTGTACAAGATTGCTAATATATTAGTTTTCATGAAATGCCCCACCAAACTGTCTCTGAATGTCCCAATTTCAGTACCTAATGTTGTTAGGGTTCCTATTTTTCTGTATTTTCCACAATTTTACTGTAAACCTGTTCCGACATTAATTGAAAACTTTGTTGCACTAGTGTCATGCTTGCTACAACATTTTCTGGGTTCTATATTCCACTCTGTGGTAACTGAAGAATATTGAGAAATTTCATATGTTTAATTGATGATTCAGAATGCTACTCCACAAATATATAGGAAAGAAAAACTAACATCCCTAATGTTCCCTTCGATCATGCCCTAACAACTCTCCTCTAATTATGCCCTAAGATCTATCCTCAAATTATGCTCTAACATCTCTACTATAATTCTGCTAATTAAGTCAAGTATATAATTAAAGAATACAACTAACTACAGCCATTTTCCACACTAACTTGTTTGTATATTCCTGTAATGGGTGAATGATTTCTAGGTGAAAACAATTGATCCAGTATCTGGGAAACCTGCCAGACGTGAGACCAACACCATGCCACAATGGGCTGGCTCTTGCTGGTACTGTAATTTTTATATGCTTCTATGACCAAATTATTACAATTTTATTCTGCGACATTTATTACATATATCCTGTTTACCAGTTCCTGTTGCTAAAAAAGCTTAAAGTAATATGTAGCAGGCCAAGAGAGGGATTGGGGAATGGGGGTCCTGGCGAAGCTTATAAGGGCTTTGTAGGATCAAAATGTATGTGGGATGGTTCTAATGTTGAGAAAGGACTATAGAACGTATGCTTGTCATAAAACTGAGCACTTCTTTTTAATTGAGATGGCATGATTGGTTTGACTATAAAAAGCAAACTAGTGATGCTAAACTAGTGATGCTTCTAACTTCTGTTCATCAGTGCAATCAGTGATAAGTCCCTTCTTCTATGTATTTACAAATTCTGCACAATTAAAAGTATGCTTTATGTTTCATATTCACAAGGACGTTTAGCTTTATATTTTTAATTAATATTCAGGTACTATCTGAGATTTATGGACCCTAAGAATTCCAAAGAATTGGTGGGCAGGGAAAAAGAAAGGTGAGTTTAACCTCTAACAATAGACTTCCATATTTTTCCATATTGATGAACACTGCTTATAACCTGTGCTGCCACTCACAGTATCTCTTCACCTGCAGGTATTGGAGCCCAGTTGATGTGTATGTTGGTGGTGCTGAACATGCTGTACTTCATTTACTCTATGCTAGATTCTGGCACAAGGTCTGTACTCTGAATTAGGCTAGTCCTAAATGGGGTTGTCTGGAGCTTGTCGTTTTTTTCCTGCACCATCTATAGCCATGCGCCTTGTGTTGGATTGTTTCACCTGTTGTTATTCATCATTTAAACTTGTAGTTTGGTAAAAAATTATTGGATCATTTCTTAGTAAACCCAATACTTCGATCGTTCTTGATCCATCAAGTATAGACTTCATGATACAAATGGTTAACGTGTCTGTACAGTTTAAAAAAAAAAGTAGATTCTTTACTTAACACAACTTTGAGCCAAGCCTACTTGTCTATGAATTTTCTGGAGAGTTCACTGAGGCAGACATGGCTAAAACCTAAGATCCTAACTCCTAAGTCGGAACTCAGAAGTATCCTACCTGTCAGGCATTGACTATTGAATGTTTATTACTGCACTCTCAAAAATCTTTTAGGGGCAAATATTTTGTATGCTTACTTTTTTTCAATTCTATATAACTCAATCAATTTGCTAATTTTTTGCTTCAGGTTCTTTATGATATTGGTGTTGTGTCGACAAAGGAACCCTTTAACTGTGTCATAAACCAGGGAATTATCCTTGGGGAGGTAAATAAAAGTTTCTTTACATGTATATGTGATATTCTACCAAACTGCATAATTTTAATGGCTCAAGTGGCAGGTTCAATATATGGCATACCAAGATCCAGATGGATATTTAGTCTCAGCTGATTCTGTTGATGCGACAATTGAATATAGTCAAGAAAGAATAGCCGAGGAGAATGTACGTTACTTCACAAATTTCATGTATTATCCTCATTTTTTGTGATGCCTTTTGCCAAATATTGTGGAGACTATTTTCTTTTTGTTCCTTTTGCTTCTCTGCATAGAATTTTAAGGTTAATTTTGATACGCGTCTTTTTAAAAATAAATTCATATTCTGTTCTGAGTTAGGTCATGAAATCTGGTGATTCTTTTGTGCTAAAAGACAATCCCAATATTCGCTTGATCGCCCGAGCTCACAAGATGAGTAAAAGTCGGGGCAATGTAATAAATCCTGACGACGTTGTTTTGGAGTATGGTGCAGATTCTCTTCGTTTATATGAAATGTTTATGGGCCCATTTCGGTAGGTTCCTTTTCCCTTCACAATGTCTTATATTTTATTTTCTTTGGTGTGCACATTTGTTGGTGGCGGGGTGAATGCTTCAAGTTTTCATATGCTGACAGAAGTTTGAAAACCTGCACCTCAATTCAGCTCTTCATTTCTTTTGATAACATTGTTTTTTTATATATGTGATTCCAGAGACTCCAAAACCTGGAGTACTAGTGGTATTGAAGGTGTTCATCGTTTTTTGGCAAGAGTGTGGAGATTGATTGTCGGTTCACCTTCCCCTGACGGTAAATTTAAAGATGGAACGGTCAACCTTGATGGGGAACCTTCAATGGAACAACTTCGATGTCTTCATAGATGCATTGACAAGGTAATCCTGATATCTATAATGCACCGACACGAACACATGTGTCCGACACGATACATGTCGAATATGCCGACACGCGATTTTTAAAAAAAGTACAGACAAGACACGTTATCGACACGTTGATTAAATTCTTAAAAAAATTTCATTTATATAGTACAAATTTAGTTTGATACTTGTTATTAATTTTTCTTGTTGAAATCTTTTAAATATGAGTACCTATTTGTTATTTGCTAATAATTTTGAATTAGCAATATATATTTCTAATATGAAAAGAAAAATAATTACGGTAGAGTGTCCGAGAAGTATCGACTCGTGTCCGACACGCTACCCTAATTGAAGTGTCCGTGCTACAGAGCCTAATATTTTATTGAATCTCTTTTTGTGCCCTATTGGTTTTACTTCCTATGGTGTCTATTGTTGCCATCAAACCAAAAAAACAGATATTAACGATAACGGAAGTGCAATATATATTATGTTTACTGGTATCTACAACCTTTATAATATTCTTAGCTTCTTACCTGGACATTGCATGGAGAATTAGACGATTCGTTTGAGACCATGAAGTGAAAGCATTTGGATTTCCCCTCAGATGCTCTATCATTTTCTTGAAATATGGGTATCTTCCAGTTTGACATGCACATTTTGTTTCCTGAATTGGTTTACCATGATAGGTGACCGAGGAAATTGAAGGAACACGGTTCAATACTGGAATTTCTGCAATGATGGAGTTCATCAATGCTGCATATAAGGTCTCTCTCTCTCTCTCTCTCTCTCTCTCTCTCTCTCTGCAGACACATCTATAATATTACCCAACCTTATCATATTGGGAGGAAGAAATCGGTTAAAAGACCTTCTAGTATGTTCGTAAAAGTAAAACTGTGACTGTTGAGCTCTGCTAATTCTTATATGTTTATACAGTCTAAATTTTCCTGTCTTGCTAATTCTTTTATGTTTTAACAGTCTGAATTTTCCTGTCTTCAGTGGGACAAGCTTCCGAAGTTAATTGTTGAAACATTTGTCTTATTGCTCTCACCCTATGCACCTCATGTGGCCGAAGAGCTCTGGTCCCGTTTGGGACACCCAATATCACTGGCATACGAGCCTTTCCCGAAGGTATGAATCTATACTTCTTACGAATTTGGCCACCTATCTCCCTTTGCTTGTGTCCTCTGGCCAGGCTAGTGCAATGTTTTTTATGGTAGTCTGTTGTATGGCATAACTCTGTTGTTTCCATTCAGTGCAGAATGCATGAATTGGTTGGTACATTTACCCTAAAAGTAGTGGGCGGGCATTACAAAGAAGCAGTTGATAGACTAATGATATGCTCATAGATTCTCATTAGATTCTAAAGTTACAAGTATCAAATAGTGCTTTTTATTGTGACAGCTTATAATCTTCTTCTAGTTAATTAGTTTTAACTACACTCTTAAAAAAAAAAAAAGGCTAGACACCTATCTCGAGGAAAGATGAAAATGCACCTGCTCTCAAAGCAGTGACAATACATTATTCTTTAAGAACTAGACTTATAGTGGGTCTGACATCTCTTATTACAGGCAAATCCTGCTTACTTAAAGGAGTCCACGGTGGTTTTACCTGTCCAGATAAATGGCAAGACAAGAGGTACCATACAGGTTGAAGACGCATGCACCGAGGAAGATGCTTTCCGACTAGCTTCACTCGATTCAAAACTGTCCAAGTTTTTGGCTGGTAAAAGCATTAAAAAGCGCATATATGTGGCCGGTAAAATTCTAAATGTTATCTTGGATGCGCAAAACGTCAAGGTGGGTCAGCAGTAGTCCCCTCAGCTAGCATTTGGGACTGGGTACTGATATACCATTCTTGAGGTTGGATAAAGAACAGCAGGAACAGGGCATACGAATGTTGAGGTTAAATATAGAACATCAAGAATGCAGTATACTAGTCAATTGGCACCTTGTGCTGAGTAGCGTTATCCGTGCCTTCTGAGGAGGAAAAGTTTTTTTATGGTTTTGTTGTATATTGTTAAAGAGACGCATTCGTAGTTGAGGTAGTCCTCAATTTTGAGATGGGCTCAGTTGGTCAATAGTTGTTTATTCATACAAAATTAATTTAGTGCATAACGTGGTTAAAGGAACGTTCACGTAATAGTGAATCAGTAGTACCTTTTGGATTTGCAAGCGGTGATAAGATGCCAACGGACCAGATTTAGTAAAAAGGTGGATTATTCATTTCTCTCGTGTCAAAAAAATCGAGACAAGAGATCTGTATATGGAACGCAAACCAATTTTTTAACATACTGACCAATGGTATCTTAACAAGACAGCTTAATTCCGGTTTACGCTCTAGCAGTATTGCAACCTTGATAACAAGAATTAGCGCACAGATAAATTTACCAAAATTATTCTCAGATTTTAGTTCAACAATAGAAACTAAAGCAGCTCCGCCGCGATGGCTGATTTGGATGACACGTAGAAGAAGCTAGTTTGACTGTTTCTTCAGATATTCCCTTGGTCCAAATATGGTAGATCCGATTCTAACATTGGTACTGCCCATTTCAATCTGCAACAGTCACAATAACTCAATTTTCAGGTTGTTTTGTTTCTAGACCAGAGCAATCTCTGCAACTTATTGTATGTAACTAAATTCCACAAGTAATGGGGTAAAATCAGATAAATTTATGTAATGGAGTCGAAAAGTGTTACACGAGAGCCACTCGTGAATAGTTTCTTCTACCACTGTTTGATATAATAACAATGCATTGCAGAGGCTAGTCCTCTCCTAACATCAGGATATATGGTCGATCTAATTGCAAGTCTGCAGGTCTTCCATTTTTGCTCAAACCCTTCTAGAAGTACTTCTATCGCACAAAAATGATTTTCTTAGAAAAATGTTGAAAGTATTAGAGAACTCACAGCAAGCTCAAAATCGCCAGACATGCCCATTGACAGCTCACATTGCTCTTCCACTATTCCAAGTGCCTTGCAGACCTCGCTTCTACATTTTGCTAATGTCTGAAACCAACAAAAACTGATAATGTCACAATAATCTGGAATTAAGAAAAGAAGAAAGTAAAACACATCTCAGTAAGATCTACTACCTTGAAATTCTCAGGAGTAGACGTATAATCCAGCATTCCTATTGTCATCAGGCCAGAAAATTCAAGGTTTGGGCAGCCCAAAGCAACGTGTTTGACAAGTTCGACACAACCAGTGGGATCAACACCGTGTTTAGCTGCAATAAGTGAAAAACAAATGTGTAAACATCACCATCTTTCAATCCCGCTGCAAAAGCAAGCAGTGAAATGAGAGAATCTAGAAAAGCTAACCAAAAATCCTACAAAAATCATACTGCAGTTACCCACATTCTTCTCCACTAGTGTTCACTTGGACCATAACTCTCAGAGGATTTCTTCCAATGTTTCCAACTACACGGTCAAGATGGTTAGCGATCTACATAAAACAAAACACGACAAACACACAAGAAAATTTACCACCATGTATGATAATACAACGGAGTATGAAAGAAGTAAATGACTAATAGACATAGGAAGTTTAATTATTGCAGATAATAGCAAAGGATTCATCAATATGAGATCATAGCAGAATTTTAAAATTCACTTCATCTAATCACATGGCTATAGGTTCAATTTCTAGGGATCAAATTTGCATGCTTGATCTTTACCATTTCTGACATCCAACTTTAAGACTGAACGGAAGTAGATCACTTTCTAAATTTTCTTTCGTAATTATGTTTGGGGGTTTAGGCCATATGTGGGATTTGATTTTTTTTTTTTTGTTTTTGAGAAGGGGGCGGGGGGAACGACTTCTTATACATGATGCATGTCAAATATACACAATAATATTGAACAAGACTCGATGCCTCTCTATGTGAGAGGTTCTCTCATTATATAAAACCAAAATCATAACTAAATATGGTAAAAGCAATCTATTTATATATGGTACAATTTTAATGATAATATAATCGTAATCTTCGATGATCTCCGTAATTTTATTCAATCTCATTGACATTCTCTTCAAATTGATGATAGTAAAAACATCAATTTGCAATCATGAACTGACGATAATAACAATATTTGTGCCCACGAAGTAGAAATCCAAATCAGAACAATCATCTACGAAAATTAGTGACAACGAGAGACCAAAAACATTAAATAGTGCTGAACACTACAAATATACTCCAGAAAACTCACTCCCCAAGAAGAGTTTCCAAAAGAAATTCACGAAGTGTGCTTTACACACACAATAAGTTCTATCTGTCGGGAGAACTTAATCAAACACATAATTCGCGTTCCAACAAAAGCTCTAACGCCAAAACCTCGGCTAAAACTCCAGATACTGCAGGTGAAAGAAATCCCACAAAACAATCTACACCAAAAATCCAAAGATGATCCTCTACCGAGAAACCAAAACTCTAGCTCATCACTTGAGCAACCAAAACTCAATGGTCTGCACTCACCAAAAGTTAACAGACTGCATTGCCATGTCTCCTTTTTTTTAGTAGTAATATCATATTATAATTGATAAATCCCTCGTAAAAAGTAGTCAACTCTGTTTCTCCCTAATTTTAGCGAAGAAATTCCAGTCCACAATAAAATCAATCAACAAATTAACAATAAAGAGTTAAAGACAAGCAGCCCAATTATCCATACCCAAGTTAAAATGGAGAGCTCACTAAATAAAGCCCAAATCCAGCCAAATAGCTATACCTCACCTCATAATATATCCAAACATAGCCCATGGCCCATTTCATAAATTTAGTCCATCTATAACCACACAATACAAATATATCTACATGTCCAATAACTTAAACCCAATCAATCCACATAAATACCAACTCAATAAACCCTAATTCATCGCCATCTCATCTCGCCGGCAATCCAAACTTCTTCTCAATCATGAGCCCAGCATAAGGAACCCGACAAACTCGTAACCTTCTTCAGCCATTCCCCTCACTGTAGGGAAAATTATAAATTCCATGATCATGGATTGAAGTTCTTTCGTTAAGAAGGGTGCCTAAAAGTATACTCCCATACCACCCTCACCAATAACCAACACGACCAATCTTTCTTCTGAAGCATGGACCCCATTTTTAGATGAAAGACTGATAAAACACTGGTCTGGGATTGATTTCAACCTCCTCTGGCAAGACCACAGCGAAAACACCAACAAACTTGAAAGTATTTAACATCAATACTATTTTTGGCAACATCAAAATTGATAGGCCCGACGTTAAAACAACTTCGGTAACTACTGGGACTGAAAATCTTTGCCACCTAATGTCAGGAAGCGTGTAAGGGATTGGGAATGACAAATATGTGGACAAAGACTCTTAATTTGAAAAATTTTGAATTACTTCATCAATACGTTAAAAGAAACATGAATAGAAAAAAGAAACAATTGATTCAATTTTACGAAGACTGAACAAGAGGACCTTGAGAAAACCTAACCAAGAAAACAAGAGAAAATTCTAAGGAAAAGGCTCTGATACCATGTCAAATATACACAATAATATTCAATAAGACTTGATACCCCTCTATGTGAGAGGTTCTCTCATTATATAGAACTGAAATCATAACTAAATATTGTAGATGATAATATAATCGCAATCTTCGACAATCTTCGTAATCTTATTCAATCTCATTGACAATGCATAAGTAAAATCCTATCATATATCTCTTCTTTCAGTTCTCCCACAATTATGGGACCTTGCAATTGGCTTCTAGGTGGAAGTGCCTCGAATAATTCACTTCAACTAATCACATGGCTATAGGTTTACGCCATATGTNTTTGTAAGCTGCATCATCAAACTTACTGAAATGTTCCTACTATTATATATTTCTTTGAAAAAGGTGATCAACCTACATGAAGTGTTCAGGATATATTACAGAAAGCAGAAGTTTTTAAAGAGCAAGCAAAGTTCAATTGAAGAAATACCTGGGGGGAGGGGTTAGTGACTTGTATATAACCTTGTATAACTTTTCTCTAATATTTTTTTATTTTCCCCATTTCCTCCTTAATTTGTATCTATTTATTGTCTGTCGAACTCCATGGTCAATAACAACAAAATCTTACATCACATAACTCAAATTCGGACATTTAGTTTTCTTTCAACTAAGTGGATTTCATTGGACTTGACTAATCAAAAGTTTTCTCATTCCACTTAGATTGATGGAATACGTTAAATATCTGATTTTTTTTACCCAATTCTTATTCTCCCATTTACAAATTTTTGTAGTCCAAAAAATCTAAGCTTTTTGCAAATAAATATTGCACAGAGTAACTCTCTATGATGCATGGTTCAGTTGAGAAGTTACAGCATGAAACTTTAAACCAGTTACAGAAGATATTCTTTCTGGCCTCAGAAAATAGGGTAATGTTTGTTAACCTTTTCATCATCTACAGTCTCCACCATGGCAAGATTTGGTACACCATCTGCAAAACATGAAAACATTAGCAAGGAACGGATACAATTCCCATACTATTTCAAAAAAAAGGTATGAATAGGACACAGCTTTCTTTTTGAACTTGTAAACATCAAAAAAGAAAGCTTCATTCCCCATCCCCCAACCCCACCCCTCTAGGACATTTTTCCTTTTATTCAGCTCTTACTTCTAAAGAATAGAGATAAAATCTCTTATTCCTAGCATAATTCATCTACATAAAGCTGAGTAGCAGTAATTTCTATCTGAACCACACTAGGACTCATAGTAGACCTTACTTGAATCAGAACAAATTTTAAACACAAAGGCCAATCCAAATGAAAGTAAAATTAACCAAAAAATGCAAATACTGTGGCATTTATATATATATATATATATATATATAAAGCTCCAGACATTCAATATCAATATAATGAAGATTTAAACTTTTAGGTTTTAGATATAAACAAATGCTCCAAAAAGAGAACAACCTATTATAACCAAGATGCGTGTCTTAAAATGTTTTCAACTCCCTCTCGTTTTCCTTTATTTTTTGCTAGCACCATATATCACATACTTACTAATTATTCAGTGAAAATTACATCACTTGCATTCATAAACATTCAACTATTCGTCCAAAGAATGAACCACATTCAGTGTGTGCATAAGATAAATGTCCATGTATAGTATACACGTGTGTGGAGAGTAGGAAGATTTTGAACATACTAAGAAGCGGCTTGACTTTATTGCTCTGCAAATTCCCAATAAAATGCCACTCTATATCATCTGGCAGCTGCAATTGATTAAAGCAATATCACCAGATTTTAGACAATTAATAAATAACACTAACACGATCAAAAGCAATTCTTCTTCATATGTTTCATTTACCAGAAAAAAACCACAAAATAATATCTAGACATATACACAATTATACATATGCAAAACGAACCTGAGGGGCTTTCTCGACGATTTCTTGGACGTAATTCTCGCCGAAGCAGCGGTGGCCGGCATCATAGACTTGGCGAAGGAGGGAAACGGGCTTGGTCTTGCTCACGGCCACCACCCGGATCCGGTCCGACCCACGGCCGCAGCGCTCGGCAGCCTGGTGGACGCGATGGAGCACTGAGCTCAGCGCCGTCGCGGCCACGCCATCAATGGCGGAAGCCGCCACCATTTCTGATCCTGACGATGATGATTGCTCTACTACTTTATCAGAACATGAATCTTGTGCGTTCTCTATTGTCTCTCTCTTCTCCGCTTCTGGATTTTTCATTTTGCTTTATTTGCATAATTTCAGCCTTAAATTTATGGGTTTTGCTATAGGTACACACGCTGTGTTCCGTTTGATTGTAAGCGGGGAAAATAGGTGGAAAGAAAATATTTTACATGGAAAAGATTTGTTTAGAAAATATTTTATAGGAAAAATAATTTCAATTGTGTTTGACTAGTATAATTTTCCACCCGAAAAATTTTTAAATTTTCTATTCGTTTGACTTTGTTTTACATGAAAATTGTCCATTAAAATGATATTTTTTTCACAATTGATTATAAAATTTGTTTCCATTGTCAAAAAGTAAAAAAAAATGGGGAAAATTGTTTTCTAAAAAATCATTTTTATCATCAAAGTTTAGTGTTCGTTTGATTTTGTTTTACATGAAAATTGTCCATTAAAATGAAATTTTTTTTTACCATTAGTTATGACATTTGTTTCACTTGCCAAAAATAAAAATTTCCAGCCGCCGCGAAAATATTTTCCCACCAAAAAGGTGGGAAAACATTTTCATCAAAAATTGGGAAATTGCACACGTGTGGGGAAAATTCGGAAAACATTTTTCGTGGAAAATTTCGCCTATCAAACAGTTTAAAAAGTGGAAAATGGAAAATATTTTCCTAATTCCATGGAAAATTCTGCCAATCAAATGGGGCCTTAGGGTCTGTTTGATTGCAAAAGTGAAATTTGGGTGAAATTTCGCCTATCAAACAGCCAAAAAAGTGGAAAGTGGAAAATATTTTCCTACTTCCTCGAAAAATGTGGCCTATCAAACACGGCCTAAATTTATATAGGAACGTCGTGGCAAGCGTAGTCATTTGTTTGAGTCCAATTCTTTTTCAAAAAAAAAATAAAAATTTACATTTTATAGTAGTGTTACGACAAAGAACGTATGGTTAAGAAATAAAGAAAAAATTTAGATTTGTTTGTAATATTATTTTACTAAAAAATATGTGAATGAAATGAGGTCAAATCACTGTTTAAAAATCATTTTAATGAAAAATGAAATCAAACAAGGGCAAGATTTATAACAGAGAGAATATAACCACTTCGATATACATTACACACAATTTAACTACGGCAAAAAAATTTAAATAAATAGACTCAAAGTAATCTTGTGTTACTCTCAACCCTCCAATATACACTCGCTTCATTTCTTGATGCAAATAACACAAGGTCATTGTTGAGTTAATCTACATTCTCTTTTTAATTCTTTTGTATATATGAGTTGACAATCTTAAAAAAAGTTGGGAATTTTGTTTTACGAAGCAAGTAAGCTCCGACTCTAACGTTTAAGTTGAGATATGTTAGAGATGACCAAAAAAACGCATTGCTTCATCTTGAATTTCTCTAATTTGCTCTAATTTGTATTTTTAAAAAAATAATAAATAAAAATATTTTTTTTAATTCTCGTCTCTTCACTCTTTCGCCTCTTGAAAATCCTCGATGGACACGAGAACATTGAGGTTGTCCCCCAATTGTATTTTTAATATGTTTTATTCTCATATGACTGTTTATTAATTAAATTTTTGGCATACTCTTATTAGTTATTACCAAATGAGAAGGCATACGTACTACTTTACAACTGATATCAGCTAAGACATGATGTCTTTCCATTTGTTAGCAAGGGTTGAGGTAATAGGATGTTTCA